AGAGAAAAACCGCAAACTATTCCAGGACAGAGGAGAGAGAGGAAATGTAGTAGAAGTCCCACTTGGTTAAATCATGAGCTCTTCGTTGCCTCCAGCACATGACAGATGCATACAGATTGTGGACACCAAGTCAGGTAGCTGAGGACAAGTTAACATTAACAGAAAAGACTTCACAAAGGCAGAAAGACCAAGTCACAGAGACATCAAAACCAGCAGGAAAATATTCCACAGGTGTTACAGTTATTAGAGGAGAACCAAGGAAAGTAGTATTGTCTCATCAGAGAAGAAAAGCTATGACAAATAGTGCCAAGAAGGCTAGACCCAAAAATACAGCTACAAGAAGTACCAACTTGGGAAACTGAGCTTTTCACTGAACTGGCAAATACCCTTAGGACATTTGCCCCATTTCCAAAGTCTGCAGGAAAATCATTTACCTTCTTCATTTTAATCCTGGTGTTGAAAATTGGGATTTTAAACAAATCTTGTTCATAATCTGAAGTTACATTCCAATTTATGGGGTTCTAAACATAACCTTTTGTCAACTATTTTTTTTTCTATATTCAGAGAACAGAAAGAGAATAAAGAACTGTTCAGCAGCATCGCAACACATCGCAACCAATTCTGCTATTACCAGAAGATAAATTGTTCATAGATTAATCACAAAGCAGACATCATGACTATTGCCAAGAGTACTCTATAAACATTATTAGTGAAAGTCCACACAATGAACAGGAGTGTTTTCATCTATAATCACATCTAGTGCTAAAAAGCACAAGTGACATTCAACCAACTGTGCATTTGACTAAATAGTCAGTCTGAAACAGCAGTGGCAAGGCAGAGCTGCTGTAACAGCCCTGGAGCAGGGGCTCACACTCCCAGCCTTTTTTTTTTTTTTTTTTTTAGTCAGAATGTAAATAGCTCACTCCACCCATCGCCTTTTAGTAGCTCTCTCACAATGATTATTCAATAAACAGTCAGCATTCCTACCCATTTTGACAAGGCCACAGAAGAATATGTGGAAGTTTGCAGTCTAAAACCTGTGCCTTGCTTAAATTTGCTTTTGGTGCAAATAAAATCAGTATGAGATCACCAGAAGTGTTCTTGCAATTAAGGAAAAAAGCATGGTCAATGTACTCATAAAAACATCCTCAAGTTGGTTATTTTCCAGACCAAATTCCTACAAGAGACAAAATACACAATTTGGGTTATTGTTTGCATTACACCGAGATGCCTATCCCATTACAAAAGCAGCACGACAGAAAATATTTCAGTGATTTTCTTCTCATTCTCAAAACACTCAACAGATCAACTGCAAAATTAAATCCAGGTGGGAAACAGGCACTTTCTCAGCAGTCAGCCCAGGAGAACAGAGCTGGGGGGCAGGAGCTAGCAGCCACCAGCCCCTGCGGGCAGCTCTCGGGCAGCGTGGGAAGGGCTCCGGCACCCACCCCGCTGCACTGGCCCAGTGGCCAGGCGCTGCTGCACGCTGGTCCCTGCTCCTGGGAGGGAGGGAGGGAGGTAAGTTGGCAGAGGTGGACCTGGCTGCAAGCCCAGCTCAAGCCTTCCTGCTGCAGGAGGAGTTAAACCCCTGGTGAGCCACTGAAGCAGTTCCAGGCCTTTCCCTCCTTCCCCTCGCCCCCCCTGAGGTGTGTATCTCATGGCTTTTAGCCTTTTGGGGTGTGGCTCATGAGACCAAGAAGTATGACACACACCCCTTCCTGGTGATGGCAGGCATAGAGGAAAACACCGAAGCCTGCGCCTAGTTTTCCACCCTGAGAGAAGAGTGTAGAGCTTCCCATATGAGAAAAGCCTGTCCTTCACCAGTCATGATCAGCAGTTAAAGTACCCAGTGACATTGTGAACGGAAAAAAGCAGTTAATCACACTATTCAGTATTAAGCTGCAATGACCCAACATCATGCTCACTCTCTTATCGTTCTCCTCTGTCAACCCCCATCTCCAGTCTCTCCCATTTTCCCCTCTGCTTCCATACAAAATCATTAAACTCACAGATCTCTGTCTTATCCCAAGCAGCATGAACTTCCTTTCTGAGCACACACATGGGCCCACTGCATGGCTAATCCCATCTTCCTCCTTTCAAAGACGATGCTATGAGCAGAGCTGACAGGCCCACTAGAACAGTTATCACCTCTTGGCAGCTTGGATGTAATACATATTCCTGTGGTCAAAATCTCCAGTGAATTGCAGACAGCTAAAAGAGAATTGCAGACAACTAAAAGAGAATTGCAGACAACTAAAAGAGAATCAAACTCTCTATCTGAAACTACCTACCACTTGTGCCAGTATTATAACACATATAAAAGAGAAGCAGAAAATTAAGTGAGGTTATTCAATTATTATGCTCTGCCTAGAAGCATTCATGTCCCAGCCTTTCTTACAATCACCCCCACTAGCTACATTATTCTCTTTGGCCTAATAAGTTTCATTCATCATACACAATGAGCTTGAAGAGCATGAGGGCCAGTTTGATTGTAAGAGGAAGATCTGAGGCCTCCTAGTGCCTGCAGCACGTGGGTTTGCCTGAGCTGTGGGTTGATAACTCAAGCTTTTTGTTGGCAATAAACAGGTGATGATCAAAGCCTGACTAGGCTACAATGCTGTAAGCTAATTTTCTGAGAGGTTGCAGCAGGACTGGCTCTTGGGCCATCCCAGAAATAAGAAATCAGGCAAAGCATAGTCCATGTGGCTGTTAAGAGCTGTGGAACTACCAGGAGAGCCCATTTCACTGAATACCTGCAGCACGAAGGGACCTATCTCATTGCCAGAACACCTCATTTCAGCACATCAAACAAAGTCTGCTCAGAATTTCTAGGAAATGCTGACACATTGCGGGTGTGCAAATTCCACCAAATACAAATTAAAAGGGAAAATAAAATCATGAGCACAGAAACCATGCTTTTCAGCCAGGGTTAATTATCACAGTGATGTTTCTCCAGAGGGTTTTACCCCACACGCTATCATCTCCCCATCTGTCTGCATTAGAACTCACTCTTCAGCGTTTCACTTAGTGCAAAGGAATTACGAAAAGTTCTTGCTTTGCTCCCTGAAAGTCACAACACACGTGCACCATGATTGCCAAAAGCAGACTGCTCCACAGCCTAACTCTCTTCATTTCAACAGCCATATCATCCTTAGGTCTGGCTGCAATGGTTCAGCTTCAGAATAAGATGACAGACCCAAATTGCTGTAGCTGTCCACAGGAACGACCCATGCTCACTTGTCGCACTGAGCAACACCAGCCTAGGAAGCCAGGTTTAGACCCAACTGGGCTAAGCAACAAGAGATCTTTCCCCTATTTCAGAGGCTTCCCATCACAAGCAACTCCTTGACAACACCGTGACTGTGAAAGGTCCAGGCTGACAGGGAGAACAAAAAAGGGTGCTGGATCACACCCATGATGCACTGCCAGCTGCGGACCAGCAGAACTGGGAAACCAATTCCTTAGACTAAGGCACTGCTGTGGATTTCACTAGAGCTGCAAAACACTTTTCCTAGCTAGCATCACTGAAAACCTGTTTTCACTAATTCCGAGCTCTCTGTCACTTATTTCTCCCAGGGGCTGTATACATGAAAAGGCGCGTCTCCTTCCCCACAGATGACATGAAGCAGCTGTACGCAGCTCTGAGATAGTGACCCGTCATTGACATTTAACACCACAAGAAAGCATTTGCTCGGTTACCATGCATGAATGGACTACCTTCTGCGGGCACTTTTCATTAAGGCAGAGAGTCACTTTTCATGCCTTTCTGACTGAAATGAAAGGCTGGAGTGATATCAGTAGGTGCCCACCCGTGTCAATTTAGAAATGATAAGGTGAAGTGCAATTAAAAGGCACTTGGAGATCCTCATGCCTAAAAACACTGAAGGAGCAGAGATGACTTCCTCCAGTGATGAGCAAGCAAAGGCTGTTCAAAACACACATTTAAGTATACTTACTGCTGCATTAGTGTTTGGAAGGTTTGACAAATCTGACAAATGAAAACTGAAGTTAACAACCAATTGGGGGGGGTAGATTTTTCAGCTTGGGGGCATGAGGATGAGAAGAAACAAATGATTTGGTTAGGGGTTTTTTTCTTTGCTTTAAACAAGCACACCACCGCATTTTTCACAACTTAACACTTCTGTTCTCAGTAAAACCATGCTGTGATCTCAGCTTCTAAGAAACTGGTCAATAAACATTTACCCAATAGCCCCAGAAATCATTTAGGTAAATATTTGCATATTTGCACATTTACTTTAAAATTAATCTTAGAAAATTATCCATTGCTATTTCTCATTTCCATATCAAGTACAATTTCAAATTGGCTTTTTTTCCTGCCATTATCAATGCAAACAGAAAGTTTAATTGAAAAAGAAATACATTTAAAAAAATAAAAAATAAACAAAGATGACAAATACCAGATTGACATCTGCCACATGTAACTATCTACCCAGAAAAACAAACAAACAAACAAACAAAAACCAAAAAACCCCACCAAACTCTTTTATTTCTGCATTTCTGCTGGATGAGTTGCTTTAACCTTCTATGTTTTGGAGTCCCCTGTGTCACTTCCTGGTTTCCAACACAAAATTGCAAAGAGAATCCAGTTGCTAAAATGGAAAAAAGTGCTACATTTTCACCAGCAGTCTGTTACTCTGGCACAGAAATATGTCAATTATTGATTTGAAGAAAGACAGCACAAACCTCAGAGTCCATTTAAAAAAAAAAAATTCAGATAGGTATTTCCCCAACTCAGTCTTTAAAAGCTTCAAATGTTTCAAGAGCTGTACTGATATTTATAGAGAGAAATAATTTACTAAAACAGGTTGTTCTCCCCCAATATTTTCAGTTCAGGAAAGACAAAACTGCCCCACAAAAGCCTTTGAGTGTTCTGCTGGCCTGCTATGCGGCAAGGTCTGAGATCTGTTAGCTGAAATACAAGTTCAAGTAACTGAGTATCATTATAGTAGCTGAACTGGCATTAGACTGCTTGTGCCTACACTGTTGATAGTTCATATCTATCATTCTTGGGTTGTAATTCTGATAGACACTCTCTGATAAGACAGGAGGCTTGACTGCAGCTGTTTTCTCCTGTGATGGTGTGGACCTGAAGTTCTTAGTCTGCAATATAAAGCAAAACACATACCATTATATTACGTGGTAGAATTTTGTGGAACCGTCATACCTATAGAGTCCAAACAAAAAACAAGACCAGAAGAAACCTGGTAGGCAACTTTACTTTTGCGAAGAAACTCTGAAGTTATTCCTCTAAGCTCTGTGAGCAAAGGGTTAGGGCACAGAAGGTGAAATCTGAACTGACAAAGAGATGCAACAACCGCCCTCAGAAAGCCTAAACAGGACAACCTTTTGAATTCTTTTTTTCTTAATGTGATTGAAAACAAATTCTGAAATGTCAGTATTTTCAGCAAAATAGATGATAATGAACAATGCTAACTTCTCGGGGGGGGTGGGGGGGGGGGGCAGAGCTGAACAAAAACAAAAAAAACCAGGCAGGCCACTTGCAATCCAATTTAGGCACCTAAAATTACTGGAAGCTTTTGACTTTGATCTCTGCAACTCCCACTCCCGTCAGTCAAATTGTCCTGAATGCCATAGAAAGGCATATCAGGAAATTAATCCTTCTAACTTCAGAGCACTGTTTGACTAGTTTGCAACAAACAAGGCACATGGCCAGTAATTTAACTGTGAGCAGAAAACAAAATATGAAATAATTGCTCTTTCAATGTGCATTAAATGAGGCAGAAGCCTTGAGGAAAGAGCAACATATTATCATGCTGTTAAATATGTATCATGACACACTGGAATTAGAGAGGAACTAGAAGGTGCAGTGGCAAATTTATCACTGCTGTTTCCTAGCTTCTGAGTGTTTGAACTGCAGCTTAAAAAATAAAAGCTTCATAGCTGTGTTTGTCTCTAATACAGCATAAGGAATTGCACCTTTTTCCCTCATTGTAAAATGCCTGTCTGTTTTCAACCGATCTTTAATCAGGCAGGTTTCTGCCATCAACAGCAATACACATTCTTAAGCAAAAGATCAGAGTTAAGATTACTCAGTGAAGCAGAAATGAGAAAACATTAACTTTTGAGAGATTTAAAATTCAGCTTAACCACTAGCACTGTAAATGTAATTTATAGTATTCTTAGGCACAAAATGCACTACTCCACTCTTGATCTAGTGCTTAAACAATTACTCAGAATCTCTGAATATACATGAAGATATGGCCATCCAAACAATAGACACCCACCCAGATACACTGTTCCTCATTCCTCCCTTCAAGCATACACAGAGATAAAAGGGAGTTTTGACAGAGCAAACACATTGCAATGAAATTACATGTTTTAGTGAAGAATACACAAAAAACCTCAAAGCAGACACAGAAAAAAAAGCCCACTTACTGTAAATGTTACTGCTGACCCATGTGCCAATTTATATAACTGGAAAGCTGAAAGTAGGATGTCAGGAAATTAAAATGGTTTGATGGGGCAAGGTGCACAGCTGTTAGGTCTAGAGTTCTCCTCTAGCTGCCCTCAGCTGTTGAAAGACTTTCTTCAAAATACAGTTACACTCATAGGTTAAGTTCTTATTTTTTACATGCTGCTCTTGAACACACTGTTGTTTTATTTTTCACTTTATTGAAACTTTTGGTCACCCTGGGAGACATGACTGAATTGACTCAATTAGGTGCACTTTTCCTCAGCTCGGCAGGGACATGCTGGGCCAGGGAACCCATCTGAGCACATTTTCTCTTCTCCTCACCTGCCCCAAAGAAGCACGTCACTCTGTGACAGGGACAGGCTCCCATCAAAGTGCAGCAAGCACTGGTCAGTGCTGCCACCACCGATGACAACTGACCTTCTGTTTTCTTGTCCTGTGTTGTCCTGTGCTGTCCAGCAGCTTGTTCACCCTCCCCCTGCAGTGGAATGGGGGAGAGAATCTGAAGAACAGAAGTAAGAAAACTTGTGGGTTGAGATAAGAACAGTTTAATAATTGAAACAATAATAATAATAGTAATCAAAATTGTAATGAAAAGGAGAACAAGAAGAGATAGAGAAATAAAACCCAGGGGGGAAAAAAAAGTGATGCAACCACTCACCACCCACTGACCAACACCCAGCCAGTGCCCAAGCAGCGATCCCTGCCCCCTGGCCAACTCCCCACAGGTATGGAATATGGTATGGAATAGCCCTTTGGTCAGTTTGGATCAACTATTCCGGCTGTGCCCGCTCCCAGTTTCTTGTGCACCTGGCAGAGCATGGGAAGCTGAAAAAGTCCTTGACTAGCGTAAGAACTACCTAGCAACAACTAAAACATCAGCATGTTATCAACATTATTCTCATACTAAATCCAAAGCATAGCACTATGTGAGCTACTAGAAAGAAAATTAACTCTATCCCAGCCAAAACCAGGACATTGTGTCTTTCTGTTTTCCTCACCCTGCCTTCTCTGCTCATCTAGTGCATGCCTCCCCTCATTGTTCCCTCTTGTCCACCCTCTTTCACCCCATTCATTCAGACCTGGTTCATGAAATACATCTGCAATGTAATCTGACCAAACAGGGGGAATAATCTGAAAGGCACTGAGCACAAAGAAGAAATCCAGACAAGCAGTAAAGCTAGAGCAGAGCTAAGGCAATGAAGGGGAGTAAATCAGGCACCCTGATTCTCTGCAAGTTCCCTCCATTTACAGTTCACCTGCCTCTATGTTGCCTTCTCCCAGTGCTTCATCACTTGCTCTCCTGAAAATACTATTGCCTTCAGACTACTATTATTCTCTTCCTCCCATTTTAAGCCTCCACTTGGGTTTCTGCTCCATTCATACCCCATCACAGCCATCTTACTCCACTCCAAGAGCAGCAAACCATTGTCTGAGTTCTCAGTATCAAATTTTTCAGTATGAGCCTGACCCAGTGCCAGTGAAATCTACATGGCCTGAGAAACTGCGAGTGTACCAGGAGGAAGTATGTACTTCTTTGGCCTATTCTTACACTTGCTCAAGGAAAAATTTATGATTGCTGATGGAAACAGGGGAGTTGTTTGTGTCTAGTGATTAAACTAGTTTGTGAACTGTCATCCTTGTGTATAGAATTTTATGTCGATAAATGCAGAACAAACAAAATAATTTTAAATACTTACAACCTACCGTACTCTCAGAAAGAATCCTTTTCATCCTGGATGGCTCTCTGCCATATATATAATGCATTAATATCATAAGCTCTCCTGCTTATTTATCAGGACTTTTCCAAAAGGACAATGCATCGTATATGGACATTTTCCTCAATCCTTGCCTCCCACCCCACTCTCAGCAATAAAGTACACGTCCTTGTACTTGCATATAGTCAGCAATAGAACTGTAATACATTTCAGGCTCATCAAATGACTTACCTCTGCACCTGAAAATCAAGCATAAAGTCACACCACTGACATCAGCAACATTTGCAGATCCTCCTACCAGGAGATAGGACAGCCTGGGGGAAGTGTCTGAAAGATGAGAAAAGAAAGGTAGTTACAGAGCTAGACATCAGTATCCACTGACTACATGATGTTACTACCTACCTTAACCAGAGGAGAAAGCTAATCCTCTACCCCCACAGCTCAAATGAGCTGAGACACACAGTTGAGATGTCTGGATGCCAACCAGTAATAGGAAGCTGCCCCACACACTCAGTCATTTGTGCGTACAAACAGACTTTCATTTTCAATTCATCTGACGGCACCATCTCCCTTTTTTCAAATGGTATTAGCACTACAACAAGAGAACTGACCAGCCATCCTTGCAAAATGCTGTTATTGATGACTGGTCTATGCTGAATTCTGTCCTTCATACCTCTACTGAGATATTTTGGTGATGCAAGCACTTACATAGCTGTTCTTACAAATCTTACTCGCATAGACTTCCAACAGGTCCAGCACAGCCAGCTGAGAAGCTGAATTTTACCCTTTGCTACCTTTGGCCCTGGGAAACATAACTTGGAAGTCACAGACAGACATTCTCCAAGGAATTTTTCTCCAGACCGTCACCACTGTAGGAAGCTGGACAAAATTCAACTCCAGGGGTCCAAACCTTCACATAAAAAAAATCAGTGAGCTGTATCATGGTGGCTGTTGAAAGAAACTTTTCTGTCATCAGTGATTAAAAAGGTCACTGAAGCAGTGTATTGGGTTTGCGTGGCAAGGTTTTGGTAGCGGGGGGACTGCAGGTGTGGCTTCCGCAAGAAGACGCCAGAAGCTTCCCCTATGTCCGACAGAGCCAGCCAGCTCCAGGACAGACCTGCCACTGGCCAAGGCTGAGCCCATCAGTGATGGTGGTAGCACCCCTGTGATAACGTATTTAAGAAGGAGGAAAAAATGCTGCAGAGCAGCAGCTGGAAGAGAGGACTGAGAATATGTGAGAGGAACGACTCTGCAGAGACCAAGGTCAGTGAAGAAGGGGGGCAGGGGGTGCTCCAGGCACCGGAGCAGAGGTTCCCCTGCAGCCCCTGGTGCAGCCCATGCTGGGGCAGCTGTGCCCCTGCACCCATGGAGGCCCACGGGGGAGCAGATACCCACCTGCAGCCCGGGGAGGGCCCCACGCCGGAGCAGGGGGATGTGCCTGAAGGAGGCTGTGACCCCGTGGGAAGCCCGTGCTGGAGAAGGCTCCTGGCAGAACTTGTGACCCCACGGGGGACCCACGCTGGAGCAGTCTGCTCCTGAAGGACTGCACCCCATGGAAAGGACCCACGCTGGAGCACTTCATGAAGAACTGCAGCCCATAGGAAGGACCCATGCTGGAGAAGTTCATGAAGGACTGTGCTCTGTGGGAGGGGCCCCACACTGGAGCAGGGGAAGACCGTGAGGAGGAAGGAGCAGCAGAGATGAAGTGTTATGAACTGACCACAACCACCATCCCCCACTCAAGGGGAGGAGGTAGAGAAGTCAGGAGTGAAGCTGAGCCCGGGAAGAAGGGAGGGGTGGGGGGAAGGTGCTTTTATTCATTCTTATTTCTCATGATCCCACTCTGATTTGATTAGTAATAAATTAAATTAATTTCCCCATGCTGAGTCTGTTTTGCCTGTGACCGTAATTGGTGAGTGATCTCTCCCTGTCCTTATCTCAACCCATGAGCCTTTCATTATATTTTCTCTCCCCTGTCCAGCTGAGGAGGGGAGTGATAGAGTGCCTTTGGTGGGCACTGGGCATCCAGCCAAGGTCAACCCACCACAACCAGAATGAGGAACTCCTGTGAAACAGAAGAGGGATAGAAAGAAGCACGCACTGAAAGCTTCCCCATACAATGCCACAAAACATCTGCTTTCAACTAACACAGAATTACTAATTTCTCTATCAACTTGCACTAGAACTTTGGCCTATCACCCCATTCAACAATCTGCAGAGCCCTGGCATTCAGTGGGAACAGCTGCACTACAAAGAAGTCCAAGAGCATGATGAAGAACAATTATGGAACGATGTTATTTACATGACAGGTCTGGTTTGTAGCTGGGTGGGTAACCAGGCAGGTGACACTGGGAATGTGCTGTTGATCCAGCCTATGTAGCTCACTCTGGTCACTGTTCCGTTGTGGTGATGGACTTCTTTCTTGGTGCTGTGATTACCTGCAGGGATCCAGGAGATGTCAGCAGCTGGCTTTCCAGCAGACCCTTGACAGCCACCCTGCTCTTGTCACAGGTCAGAGTGACTGTAGGAGGGACTACAGAAGAAGAAAGAAAAAGTCCACAACCGTTATTTCTAGTTCAGTATAAAATCACCGAGAAACTGAAAAATAGGTGGTATTTTTTAGTTTGCATGACCAATTCAAGAGATTTTTAAATTATTTGGAATATTAGCACCAATGATCTTTAGGGAAAAAATACACCAGAAAGTCCAAAACTAGCTAGCTGCATCTAAAAGTACTGCTTCCTCATGTTTTCCAAAAGGAGACTACAGTAGTAACAGAAGAAGATGAGATGACAGAAAGGGGTGGATTAAATGAAGATTTATAAGTACGGCAGTGCACATACTGAAGAAAACACAGCCTGCTGAAGCTCCAGCTAAAATATTTAGGAGGTTGGGTAGGTAGAATGAAGAATTTGATAGCAGGGAAATAAAGAAGGAATCAGACACATCTGTTCTGCCAACAACTCATATTCTGCATTTGACAAAACAGGCAAAGGCCCAGACAATACCTAAGCCATTATCAGAAAGGCAAGACCCTGCAGGGAAGAACAAAAAAATCAAGTGACAAAAATTAATAATAGCAATTATAGAGTTCCAAAATTCATTTCCCATAATTTTTAGTTATATTCAGAAGGCTTAACTAGTATGGCGAGAATACAAAATCTTTTCCTATTTCTTTTTTTTTAATTTATGGAAACCTAGAGATAGTTTACCTGACTATCTGAAAAAGATGATTTGATGTATTCATTATGTTTTTGAATATTCTTTTGCTCCTGCCTATGTTGAAAATAGACTAAATTAATTTTTATTTTAGTGATGCAGTCTTATAGACAGCTTTCAGTATTTCTGGAAGAGTGAGGTATTTCCAGATAGTGTCCTGGAACTTTTGCTTCCTTCCTATTCAGCTCTTACCAAGATGACACACACATTGACCTCATTGTGAATTTTGGTTCAGCATCCTCTTGCTCAGCTTAAAGCAGCAATACTTATTTGATATCTTCTGTTTGCATTAACTTAACCAAGAGTGTATACTCCTGGTTGTGTGAACACTCACGCAACATTCAAACACCACATTATACCCAGAGAACTCTCTCAGAAACTAGGCAACTGTTGGATTTGTGCATTTTAAAACCTCTCCTGTTCATGAGTCAGAAGAAGTTAAAAAACCAAACAAAAAACCCCCAGATTATTTCTCCACAGAACAGCCAAGTCTTATTGCGTAATTCTTCCTGCCTTTTTCCCGTCTCCAAATAGCCAGACTAGATCAGCTTACCTCTTTATTTTCAATTTCAGTATGCACCCAAAATGAATTTGGTCTTTTACCACCAAATCTAATCATTTTGTCTCCACACACACACAAGAAAAAAAATCACAAGATGTGTCTTGCCTATCACAGTCAAAGAGAAAAAAAAGAAAATTCCTGCACTGCTGGCAATTTCACAGGTGTAATTTCCCTCATCACCAAGGTTCACAGGGTAAGTACAAAGAGCAGGGTCAGTGTCAGGTGAATATTCCCGCATCATCCTCTCACTGCAGTTTAACTTCTTTGTTTCACTGTGATCACTTCTACTGGCCAACAGGCAGCAAGTGCTGCATTTCATCTTCCATGTCACCCTTAGCAAAGACACCTTGGAGACATAAGAGCAACTCAACACAGCTTCATGACCAGCCTCCACACTCACCATGTTGTAAGCTACATAAGAAGAAAAAAGACATTAAAAACAATGCTACAGCCGTCATCAAAGCATAGGAAACTCTTGGCTTCACCACACTTAATAATTCCTACTTCCTTACTGTACTGGCAGCCTTGAGGACACATTGCTCTGTGCACACACATGTAAGTAGTACTCAATTTCCAGGTCCAGCTTCCTGCTGTCATTCTTTGAAGTCTGAAAATGCAGTGGAGATGGTGCCTTTCTGCTGTGGACACTGTGCAGGTATGTGATGCATGCTGGTGAGCTGCAAGTCCTCCATCTTTTTTTAGGCAACAGATTTCTATCACTTTAATATGGGCTTTGAAAAACTGATGGGGATGGCAAGGTTCACCCTTAAGGGAAAGGAAACTACTTTAAAAAAAATTATTGTGTTATTGAATTAGGCACCTTGGTTAAAGTGCAAGTAAAACTGTGGATAGCGGTGGAACATACACCTGTATAAGGTTAAAACCCAAGATTGCTTGGTGCAGTAGTTCACAAGGCATATTTAGTAATGGGCATATGTGGATCCCTTTTCTACCAGAAATTATAGCTCTCTTGATATTATCCCAGTTGAACAGGAGATGGATCTTCAGATGATCTATGTTGGATTCCTATCAGATATATCATCCTGCGCCACTCGGCAAGGCACACAATTATTTTGCCAGCCGAGGTGACATCACTCTTTGCATTCACATTAAACAATAAGCAAAATTTCTCCTGGTGAACTGTGAAGTTTCATACTGGCGAGTTGGAAATACAGAGTACCAAAGAGTGCTGCATGTAGTTTTGGATCTCTCTCACTTACCTGGCCCTTCAACCAGATTGATTAGCAAGAAAAGGAGTGCAGCCAGAACTGCCCATGTCTGAGACATCTTTAGCAGAAGGAACGAGCACTGCAGAAAGTGAAGGCAAAGAACATGCATGCAGTCACAAATTGTTGTGCAAATCCCTTCAAAGAGAACACGTAGTAATATTTCTGTTTCCTTTGAAAACAGAAGTTCTAAACAAGACCCCGTGTCAAGTATTCTTGTATTGAAGAAAGTAAAGCAAAAAGGGTTTTGAAAATAAAAACCCCACTATTGTTTACAAACAAGTTTTAAAAATCCAGCATCTCTGCTGCCATTTTACAGGCATCTCTAGCTGCTCACTATCTTCATCCCCAGCTAGCTACCACAAAGATAGCTACACACCTCTTACTGCTGCTTCATAGACTTACCTGCAAGAGCAAACATGCACGCATTACAACTCTTTCTGAAAAATCAGGGTAACAGCGTGCATAGGAAAATTCAGGATCTAGACGTCATCAACTATTTGACAAAAAAATTATTCCTAAGCCTTGCGTGCTTTTAATTTCTTGAAGGGTAACTCCGCTTCTGTAGAAGAACAAAAAGGACAACAACCATCCAATTGCAAGAGATCAAAACCATGTGCATTTGTTTCCTGCTTTCATAGACACAATGAACTAAAGAGGCATCTAGTAACTTACGCTATTCTACAGCTACCTGTACTTTTTAACAAACCCTATCTTATAAATTGCTAGGTCCTTTTTGGCAAAAGTGCAGTGGTTCATTGGTAAGATTGAGGCAGTGCTGTCATCCCAACACATTGATTTCTGGTTCACACAAAAAAGCAGAACTCCATGCTAACCAAAAGCTTTCCAGTCAAAATATATATGGCTTTCAGTGGAGAATTTTGAATTCAGCTGTTGCTGGAATATGGATTTGGCTAAGAACATCACTGATACTTTCCTGCGGTCAGATATCATACATAAGTGACCCCAGTTTGGCATGGCAAACTTGCATTGCACTGTACTGAACAATATACATATGTATTCCCAGAGTCAAACTCCCAACCTCTTCTGCTCAGGTCTCAAGGACAAGCACCCTACTGCAGTAGGTACTCATGCTGCTTCTGTCACAGCAGAAAGGTTCACAGCCAATGCACTTCTGTGCCTCAAACCAGCTGGGGGATAAAGCCGAGGTCTTGGAGCGTAGGCCTGTTTCTACAACACTGCAGTAGCCATATCCTGACTGCAGCTTTCTGATGTTACTGTAGAAAACAGGTGGCCACACTTTTGTCTTGAGGCTCCCTGTAGCCTGCCCGTAAAGCTACCTCATTTTCCATCACTCACCTCTGCACTCCCTCAAATTGCCTGCTCGGTAGACCTTTTGCCATTCTCTCCTTTATGCCATCATTTGTATCTCTTTAATCTTTCACTTTCTGATCAGTCACCCACAGCTAGAGATGACTGGAAAATTGTGTTTCCATCCCGTGGGAAATACTGATACGTTGTTTTCATTCCCAAGTCAAAACCTAATATGCACCAGACAAGCAAATAGTTTTGTGCAATGGTTGAGTCAGAAACGTCCTATGTGTTGCAGCAGGCCTTTCCTTCTGGGCTATTTAGATCACAGACTGTTCACACCTGTATTTAAATACAAGCATACTTCTCAGTATGTGCCGAGAGGAGGAGCAAAGGCAGCCAGGATTCACTGTGCACACAGAAACCTAAATCCTCATCTGGTATCAGCTGCTGTAGAAGTAACAGTCTTCAATTATGCAGCATTAAAAATTTCATTTTAAATGTAAAGATATATCAGGTGAGCACAGAAGAAAAACCAGGACACTGCCACACTTGTGGCAAATACACAAGTTGCTTTCAATCAAAAAGTTTGAAAGTGTGAAATATTTTTTTTAACCAAAAACTAAAAAAGGTACTTTTGGACAAGAATTATGTACTGAATTTGACCCAATTTGCAAATAATTTTTCAGTCTCTTTCAAAAGAAAAGTAAAAAAACCAAAAACCTCTACAATGCTTATCAGCAAATTCAGTAGTCACCAATTTTGATGGCTCTATAAATATTCATAAATAGAATATTGTCATATTGGAACTTGTCCCGGAGAACTATCTTTTTTTAAAATGCATACAAGTCTCATATATATGGGGTTTATTTGCTCAGAAGAACAGGCATTAATGACTAAAAATGGGGCCTTACAGAAGGAACAGAGTATATTACTCTGTTTAAATATTCATGTATGAAACGCAGAATTTAGACTACAATTTTTAAGGTTCACAATTCTTGAATACTTGTGCCTGTAGCGGGGAGTAAGTCTCAAAGTAAAACCCAAAAAGGAGAAACCAAGCACAGCTGAATCAAATTCATTTAAAAGTAGCAAATGAATATTTGTAGATTGTTTTGTGTTATTTCCTTTGATGGAATTAAAATGTCTCAATAACTACATTAAAATAAATTAAAATTTTTACTCAGCCTTGACAGCAGTGGCTGGCACAGGACCATGCAATATGTGCGTCATTTTTCCATTAGCCTCAGCCTTCCAGCTAGGGAACAGCACTGCTCACGCTCAGATTCATCCCAATGAATGCTGAGGCTGGAGGAAAGTTGCCCAGTTGCCAGCCTGGAGAAGAGCCCTCTGGCCACAGGAGCGTAGGAGATGAACAGCAGCAGCGCCAGCATGCTCTGGTCTTCTGATACTTGCTGTCCTGGGGATAAGGAGAGAGACATTATTGCATACAGCTGGTCCAACACAAACACCAGTCCCTGTGGCTGCTTACGGGGTGGGTCCTGCACCCCAAGGAGCTGCAGAGATGTACCTGGAGCTCCCCTCCCACTCTGTCCTCATGAGGAGCCCGGATATAGTTGCAAAGAAGCGAGAATTATCTCAGTGTAGGACCGTGCATCCCAGATAGTCCCTGTTTTCAGCTGTACAATTCATTAATTTCTTTTCATTGATGCTCCTGAGATCTTAACACACAGCTGATTTGTTTCAGACAGACATAGCCTCTTCCCCCTCTAAAAGAGCTCAGTGGAAACAAACCAGCTGGTTGTGCGCTCCCCTAAAGACGATGTGTCACAGTTAAAACTAGGGAAACAAACTGCTCTCTGAGATGACGAACAAACCACAACCTTACGTTATCTGCTATTACACGTCAAACACAAGCTACAGGCCTTGAGCTTTGCGAAGCACCAACTTAAAATCAGATAAATAAAAGTCCAACATAATGAAAATATATTTTAACACAATCTGAATGAGGAAAAGATGCAGGTCATAAAGAACGAGTTATCAATCACTGCATCAGTTGTCACAACTTTTTAAAAAATAACCAATACGTCACATAGCCATTCCCATGCTTACCTCAGCAAAATATGGCTCTGCTTTGCAGTGGAAGCACATTTTAAAGGGTAGAGAAGATCCTGCCTCAAAAACCTGTTCTCTGTAACACCTGGTGTCTTTGGGCAGGGGAGGGCTGGAAGAGACAGCAAGAAGAGGAAGCAGTTGCATGCAGCTGTGTCAACTCTCCCACTTCTTGCACAAGGATAAGGTAACAGTAAGACTGACTATTCAAAGCAAGGCTACATTATTTAAAATCCAAACCCACACTTTTTTAATAGTCAGAGCCTTCACGCAGCAGCACCATCCACCACAAGGCATTCGATGTTTGCACCTCACCACCGAGGCCTTTCCTCAAAGCCACGCTCCTCTGTCACTCAGCTCTCAGGGGGAGGCATGGTTTCTGCAGGTGTGAGGCCCTGCACCCTACGCAGGGCTGGCTGTCGTCTCAGGAGGCCAGGAACCCTTACGCTGAATACTTGCCAACCACACAGCAACCAACTTGGAAGCCTGCAGACAGCCAACACCTTTTCTGAAGTGAGAGATGATAGTTATGCTGTATTTCCAACTTCCCCAGGTCAGCCTCCACTTTTAGCTGTCCTTTTGAGCATGGGAAACCCTGGAAGCTGAGGTTATCCACCGGTACTGCATTTGCAATAAATAACTGGAGCAGTTCAAATGGCAATTTAAGAAGCTCTCCCATTTCTCCTCAAAGTTTTAACACGAGCTGTTAGACACCTGAGTTGTAAGAGTTACCTGAAAAAAAAAAAAAGTAGCAGCAGATGTGTCCATGGGTCTGCATTCCCTGTGCATCTCAGGGGCCAGGCCCTGGGTTATTTTTGTGCAGCCTGTTCACTGTTTGCAAAGAGTTTTGCACCAGGTCTAGGAGCAGCCTGCAGTCCCCGCTCAGGGGACAGATTTGGCTCAGCTGCTGCCCCAGTTTCTCCCAAGCAACAGTCCTCTCCTGGGAATTCCTCAAGTCCCTCCACTGGCAATGAAGTTACAAAATATGGAAAGACTCCGAATGCCTTGGGAGGAAGACAACTCATATCAAAAGGGGCAGCAGGTAGATATTCCCAAAGCAGTTCTTTCTCAGAAACTGAAAAGTTTTGGGGGGAGAGGAGAGGTTGTGTTCTTGCTCTGTTCTTTGCTATCTCCTTAACTATCTGCAGTTGGCCACTGCAAATGCTGCTGGGCTAATGGACCTTTGGTTTCACTTTATAGCCTCCTGGTATTTTTATTCTCTGAAAGATACCCTAGCCTGAAACGCATCCATGAAGCCCCGTACTAGCAAAGCAGAAGACCATTAGCACTGTTAGTGACTGGAGGAGCTGCACCTGCATGGTGCATTTTCTTCTTGGGCTCCCTATTTGTCTTATACTTGTTGGCATCAATGGAAGCCACAGATGGTTTGTACCTGTGAAATTCAGCCCATCCAGTTCATGAGCTAGTTTCATTCAGTTCCAAATTCATAAAACTCTAAAGCTTTCTCTACGAACTGGGAAACAGAGGGTAGGTGGCTTTCCAAAAGAGAGAGAGAAACAGCCTAATAGAAGGAGCCCTCAAAACAATTATGCACAAGTTACATTAAACAGCTGTACAATTACAGTGTATTGGTAACATATACCTGAAGGTAAATAGGTGTGAAGCTTCCTCCACAGCAGGGCAGAGTTTTGTGGTGTTGGTGTGTTGAATTCAGCAAGATATTAACATTTAGAATAATACTAATATTAACATTAC